GAAGTCCAATCGCTGCCAAAGAATTAATTGAAGAAGATAGCTATCTATATACGAAAGGAAATCACAATATATGCCCGCAGTCTGGTCACGTGATACTACACCACAATGTATAGCCGCGGTCACCCATGACATGTTTGGTCGTGGCCATCCATAGACGGTAGTCGAGTACAAATGAATACGCGGCGGTGATGAGATGGGAGAGATGGACTGACGATATGGCGAATTTATAGGCATCAGAGCGCTTTGCTGCATTGCGTGTCCTTATTACAATTATAGTTCGCTGTTCTGCTACCTTTGTTGCAACTGTAATTTAGTTATCGTACTTAATAGAGGTATACCTAATAGGTATATACATATTAAGAAGTATAACTATATAGTTATTCTTAGTAATATTACTAAATCCTCTTTTAAGACTTAAGAGTAGGGTCTTACTAATGTAAATGCTCACCTAAATCCTTTTACTTTAACTGCAGAGTTAATTTTTTTAATACCTAATTCTAGTAGGTTAGGGTATAGCCTGCTATTTATTTCTAAGATAATTGATCTGATACGCTACATAGCAAACAGATATGAGAAAAGTCAAGTCATAGATAGTAGAGCTAGTACGGCTCATGTTCATAGAGTCCGTAGATTTTATGTCAAACATTGCCTAACTGCTAAAATCCTCGTACTCATCTAGTCCCTTCGATTCTCATCACCGCATCCGAAAGACCCCTAACATCGTACAACATTCCACTGCTTACAGCCCCCGCCTCACCCGGTCTACCCCCTGAGGGGGAGATGCTTGTACCAGGCAGCGGGAGCACAGCGGCCCAAGTACGACATCAGCTTTCTTGGGAGACCAACAGGTGTAAGTGGCGGGGAACGCTGCCTTTCTAATTCTACCGTTGTACATTCGGCCTCAGTTTAGAGAATCTCATGGGATATTTAAAGAGATGAAAGAAGAGCTGTTAAGCTTTGCTGTTCCAAATAAGAGGGACATAGGGACAGAGGAAGACGCGTGTCTCGTATGTACGATATGAAAGCCTCAGGGCCAGGGAACCGCATGTCAGATGTGAGGTTATCGAAAAATGGCCTGACAGTGACGGAACTCGGCGTTTTCGGGACAAGCGGTAACGCCACCCTTTGCTTGTGCCTAGTGAGAGAAAAGGGGGGAGGTTGGGGTTGTAAGAAAAATGGCAAGGGTTTGACCATGGAGATTATGTACATGACGAAGAGCACAGCATGTGATGGTGCTGGGGAGGCTCGGAAGTGGTAGTTGTGAGGGAAAGATACTTCACAACACAACATTGCCCCTCTTCTGCTTGCCAGGAAGAGGAAGAGCGAAGAGTTTTTGATTTTTTTTCCTTCATGGAACAGATGTGATATTCTGTTCTGGGAAATACAGTCACGATTTGACTTTCAAGCTTGCATACATCTCTATTAGAGTTTGGCTTGGATGTTGTTGTTGGAAGTGGGGAGAGTATCGAGCTAGGTAATCTCCGAGGTGGTACCCGGTCTTCTTGACGTTTTTTCTTTTCTTTTCGTGCATGCATGTTTAAACGTAGGGGATGCGGGTCTATTAGTAGGGCAGGCACCGGGTTTGACTGTGGGGGTGGTCATGGCACGAGTTACTTGTGCATGCTTGGGTAGGCATGTTGTATATCCACCCCCTCAGGGGGTTGACGACTACGTACATATACGGCTCCCACCACTTTCTCGAAGCAGCATATACGATAACGCCGCGTTTCACCCAGTCACGCTATGACTGGAATGGAATGGTATGTCGCTTCACGTGTCTTCAGGTGGACTGACTGCCCCACAGGGAAGGGCTTCCCATATTCATCACATGAGCCGTTACATCAACGATTTGAGTAAGATTCAAAAACTACAAAGGCCGTATCAAGGAACACCCCCGTGGCTATCCACCCCAGTGTTAACCAAAAAGCCCCGTTATCATCATGACGCCAACCTAAACACAACCAATCCCCAGCCCAAGAAGACAAAGAAATATGAAGCAGGCGCTTTCCCGCCACCCAGAAACCGCCCGGATGGATCGTGGCGCTATTTTTCAACTCTAAGCGAATGAGCAAGCTCACCAGCTCCCACTCTGCACCTAGCGAAGCGACCGTCCTCTAGGAGATACGTCAGCTACCCGCCCCGTTCCTGACCCAAACGCCATACAAAAGCCGCGATTCGTTCGCTAGCTGTCAGCAGGCGCGCAGCACTTGCATCAGGCAACGGGCCGAACCGCGTCACAATTCCTGAAAAAGAAAAGCTGGCGTGTGGGACGCTAAAAGCAGCGAGGCCGGCTGCCGAGGGTGGAGCACAGTGGAGCGGAAATTGGGAACGACAGGTCGCAATGTCGAGCTTGTTCCTGGAATTCGAACATCGCGAAAAAGGTGCTGGAACTTTTTTTTGAAAACAGAGAAAACCGATAAAGCGCTGGGGAATAGTAAAGTGACCGAATGCCGCCCATGGTCTGGAAAAACCGGAAATCGTATATTGATGTCATCCACAGTGCGGTAAGCGGAATTTGAAAAGTGTCGAGTCGATTTAGAAATCGACTGGTGCTGGGTACCGGCTTTGTGCGGTGCGGAACTGCTCTGGGTACTTGTGTGCCGCTCGGTTGTTCAGTGCGCTGTCGGAGGCGTTAGTTCGGTAATTGAAGTTGGCCATCAATATAAACCTACTCGACTCGCTTCTGAGTCCACTGCAAATCCTTCTGTACATCCTTTGCAGCCTTCATTCCGTCTGCAAAGCTCATGCGAGCACCAGCCAATCTGCGCTGAGCCAGTGCTTGTAGTTCAGAAAGCTCGCGTTGCTTAGCATTCAGTTCACCGGACCTGCGTACAATGTCAGTTACACGGCTCTAGTCGCAGTCGGGTGATTCAGAATACACTGATAGACATAAACTTACGTTTGCGCCTGTTTTGCAAGACTGCGATCTAGTGGCATTGGATCAAAAGAGCCGTTCACACGGCGACCCATGTAATCGAGGAGATCCACGCTGGCGGCGCCGCTAGTGGATTCATAATCGCTTGCACTGCCAGCGTAGTTGCTAGAGGTGGATGACGGCTCGTACGACGGTACACCAGATGTCGTAACGCTGTTTGGAGCCTCGGGCGGTGATCCTGACACGCGTCCATAACCATGTTGTTGGGCCGGGAAGAAAAATCCGGGCTTTTGTGGCATGTTGATTGGGTAGGATGCTTGAGGCAGATTGTAGAAGGAGTGTGAAGAGGCCATTTCGAATAATACTATATTCACCTGTATGCTGGAATGGCGTGTAGAGTAGTGTACTGGCGAAAGGTGCGAGTGGTCAGATAGTGTTGGTGGTTGGTCAAGGTGTTGAAGTGGGAAGCCAAGACAGTGATCCGGATGTGACAAAGGTATAATGATATCCCCAGAAAGGTGAATAGAGAATCAGAAAGATCAAGTTCATGTCCAGCAAAAGGAGCCCTTTTTATACCTTTCCAGTGCAGGCATGCTATGAGCATCACGGTCAACGGGGTATAGCTCTGACCCCTTCATGCCGAGTGATGGCCGCAACCCCGCCGTTATGGTGATAAAGCTGCATACGATTACATCCACTGAGAACGGTTCCCGCTGGTGCCGGATTGTAAAGCGTCATTTAGACTGGGCTGGACGGTGGCTCTTGGACGTGGGCCGCAGCCGATCCACGATACCTCGGAGCGATAGTGAATGCTTGAGATGCCAATTGGCCCGTACAAGGAACTAGTGACAAGTGGCCTCAGCTCCAGCCGGCACAAAAGAGTCGGGGAGCGAATTGGCTTGTAATGGCAAAAAGTTGCGATTCTGGAGGCAGTGCCGTCTATGGCCGGCACCAAGGTATTGCTAAAGGCAGCGGGGGAGAGTAAGCGCAGCAGACTACGACGCAGACGCCATGTAAAAGCAGCGGCGGTGGAGAAGTGTACATGCATGGGTAGGCTGCCGGACGGACATGCTAAGTGTTGTCAAATTGATGCGTTGGCTCGACAGCTGCCAGCGCCATTGAGCATGCAATCTGGAGGGGGATGCAAAGGATCAGACAGCGCATGACACCAGTGGCGGCATGCGCCCAAAGAAGCTTGATGAGACGTTTGCGCGTATGAACATGGTGGGCAATTGGCAAGAGGGCGTGTACTGGACGACGAGTCTTTTTTTTTTCCGTGTAGTCATGGTCATGGAAGGTCGTGGAGAAGGATGCGGGACTAGCAAAGCCCCGCCGAACTAACAGTCCGCCCCTCGGTGGTGCGGTGCGTCATGCTTGCGAGCAGCAACCCAACCCGGCCAATGCACCTTGCTGCACCTCCACCTTGGCGCTCCGATGCCTCGAACCCTTGGGCGCCATGTCTGCTTTGCGTAACCTCGTACTGCTTCTCGCACGAACATTCCCCAGACGTTCCCATGCTGCAAATCAACTGCTCTCCAAGCATGGCAATAAGTGGCGGTGAGGGATCCCACCTAGCTCGTTTCTCTTCCCAGGACCACCGGCTTTGATATGCATGCCATGTCCTTGCACATAGTACTATCCGAGCCCTCTGTCCATGGAAGGTGTTACACTGGCGCTTCAACGGCGTGGAACAAGCCAATCGTATGGCACGGCTGTCAATGCCGCCCATGTGAATTGCGCATGGTAGCTACTTTTAGGTCACCCTTGTACCCCTCGCCCCAGCGTCTTCCTTACATGAACACTTACCCGGGGGCCGAGAACTTGAATTCGACTCAACCAAGAACTTGAGTCCGGCCTGATCTCGTGTGCTTCTGGATGGAGTGTACAACACTTTGCGCGGCACCAGGCAGCGACATCTCCCACTTCCCACGACCGTCTGATTGAAATTTAGGTTCTACAAACTCTAGTTTCGAGTTGTATCAATTACACATGTACGATGTATTCGGACATTCTGACGGACCAGAATTTGCTCTCCAGTTCCTTGTCAGCGAGTGGTGCTGGACAGGAGATACTAGTGGTAACGTCTTCCCAATGACTGCGACCTGTAGCTCTTAGCGACCACTATCGGATCTGATTGAGATACTATTCGACAGCTCTTGAATTACACAACTATTTGTTTAGTCAATTTGCTGATAAGCTAGTGCTAATCAGTTCTAGACACTGTATTTCAACTGATTGGTACGTTACAAATGATTTCGTCTTTTTCCAGCCTAACAAAACATGGCCATAACTCGCACTACCCTGATTGATGGGTGTGCGATATACACTAGTCTTGACAAAGGCGCAGTAATCTGAATACATCAACGTGCGTAAGCACCCATGAAGCACCGCCTTTTGGTCGCTTTTAGACCCTGATGGCTCTACAACAATACTCGGTAGAACACCATGGCAACTTCAATCTCTCCAATGAGATGCCATAAAGTTCTGATGCAATCTTGCCAGTAACCTGATTCGTGGAGCTGTTTTGCATTCTATGTGTACATATCAGTACCCATCAATGTTTTTCAAAGTCTGCAAACTTACATCATCCACTGTTGCCTTTTCCGAGCTTGGCCCAAGGGTCCTCAACGAAGCTTGGTAGAAAATAGGCCGTGTCCCCGTTCTCATTCTGAACTCCATTACGAAGCGCATTTAGATCTGCTCTCGAAATGGGAGGTCCGCCAAATGACATAGTTTCCATTGCAGACTGATCGTTCGGAGCAGCGCCATTAGCAGCGCCAAGGGGAGTTTCCGGAAGGGTTTGACCACGTGCTAGGAAGCTGGCAAGACCAGAATCTGTTGCCGGCGTCTTCTTTGACTCGGAAGCCTCAGGCTCATCCGCTTCTCCACTAGCAACTTTCTTCGTTCTAACCCCGAGTTTGGTGGAGTTTGCACCGCTTGCATCGGCTTTGGCCTTTGGTGAGTTTTCATGGTCGAATTTTCGCTTCTTGGTTCCCCCAAACGAGGAGAAGCCCATAGCCGCAGCTATGTCGATGTCCTCTTCTTCGTCCATGACAGAGAGTGAGTCGGCTGTGTTAGACTTCTGCTTGAGGAGTATACTTCCTAGAGACAAAAGTATAAAAGGTCATGCGAAGTTGGATAAGAGGGCGCTAGTGAAGGGTACCTGCGCCAATCGGAGCGGGACTGTTTCCTACAGTGGGCCCCCTGGGTTGACAGCTCTTGAACAGTATCCGCCTGTGTGGAATGGTAGCGCACTATCACTATAGAGACATGACCCTCAGCGGGCATCTCACCACGTCATGCCACGAGCATAGGTCGTGCGCAGATGTACATGGACAAGCACGCGCGTAGCTCTGGCGGCCTTAGCGCCAGCGTCATCCCATCTACGCATCGGCAGGGTTCACCACCAACAACGCTTGCAACGCCTGCACAGCGCCAGATCCCATGCTGCTTCTCGTCATACTCTAGTCCTTCAAGCGGGCTCTAGGATACGCCATGCTCACCATGGAAAGCGAGACTTCGCAGAGCCCGGCGCAGCGCCGCTTCATGCGACCCAGTGTAAGTCGCGTCTTGGGGCTTTAGGCACGCATGCATAGCTCACCATAACCTACAGATGCGGTCGGCGACAATGATCCAGCCGAGGACTGGCGAACGCGTCAAGAAGGCCTTCACCCTGCACAGATCTCGACATCGCCGCACCCGATCCGCCGAGATCCTCCTCGCTCCCGGTCAGTTCGAAACTGAGAGATACCGTGAGATGAGCAGGAAAGAGTTGCTTGTCGAGATGATCAAGTACAAATTTCGGCAAGGCTATGCATATGCGACGAGCCAGACCGGCATTGGCATCCTGAAATGCTCTCTGGCCTATGTACTCGGCTCGCTGGCTACCTTTGTCCCCTTCATAGCTGCGCTGTTGGGTAGGAACGACGGCAAACACATCGTTGCGACAATCACCGTCTACTTCCATCCAGCGCGCTCAGCCGGTAGCATGCTTGAGGCTGTCATGCTTGCCTTTGCCGCCTTTCTCTATGCTGCGGTCATCTCCTTCTCCAGTATGGCCGTGTCGGCTTACTTTGGGAACAATGACCTTCTAGTAGTTGGCCATGTCATAGTGCTCATTGTCTTCTGTGGAGGTGGCCTCGGGCTGGTTGGATGGACAAAACAAAGGCTTGGCAATCCGCTGGTCAATGTGGCCTGCTCTTTGACTTCTCTTGCCCTCATCACCATTTTGACCAAAGAGGGGGCTGTTCAGGCTGCTACATTCTCCTACGTTAAAATCTGGCAGGTTCTGAAGATGGTCATCATGGGTTGTGGTGCATCGACAGCTGTATCGCTTCTAGTAAAGCCAACGTCAGCGCGCAGCGAGTTCCGCGACACTTTTATCAAATCCACCGATGCCATGGCAGAGATGCTAAACGGCATTGCACTCAGTTTTCTCTCCGGGTCTGAACAAGACCTCAAGAGCGACTCGTATGTCAAAGCTTCAGATCGGCTGCAAACGACGTTCAAAGCCCTACTTAAGAATCTTGGAGAAGCCAAATTTGAGCATTATGCGTTGGGCACTGAAGCAGAATACAAGATCAACGCGAGGCTGGTCAAATGTGTTGAGACGCTGATGCAGAGTTTGGGTGGATTGCGAAGTGCTGCCGAGACGCAGTTTACGTTACTTGCTCAGCCGGCGCCCGGTGAGGCAGCTTCTCAACCTATGCCTACCAATGGAACGGTTACTTCTTCAATCTTCTCAGAGCAGGCCATGTCGCAAAGTCCTCCTCAGCTGATTTCTCCCACGCTGAGGCATTCGGATAGGAGGGGCAGCATCCTCGCCTCTATCGATGAACTGCCAGAAAGCTCCGAAGCGTCCGCAATCTGCTCAGCTGCTGAATCAGACGACGAATCTAACCCAGTGAATCAAATGCTGGCCAGATCTATCAATCTCTCGAAGTCGAACCTGACCCCTGCTGATATTTTCTCTGTCTTCATAGCTCAATTGGGCCCACCAATGGTGAGTCTGAAATCTTGGGTTTTCTTGCACTGCTAATCAAAGTAGAAATCACTTGCATACACGCTACGCGAAGTGCTTTCTGAATTGCCGTTTGGACCTGGACCAGAGTACAACATGGCTATCAATGAGCACTTCCGGCACAGCCTAGTAGACGCGAAGGCCCTCTTCGCGGACGCACGACGAGAGGCTCTTTCTGGTATCTACACAAACAAAATTCCAACTAGGACAAGTTCAGCAGCAGTTGCAGCCGACTTTGAAGAGGTTGCCGCAAGCTGCGGGTATTTCAGTTCGTCATTGATTGATTTTGCTGAAGATATGGTGGGGTTCCTTGACATTCTTGAGGAGCTCAAGTCCAATGTCAATCGCTATCCGCGGCAGAGAACTTACAACTGGCTGAAGTTCTGGAAAACTCGGCACAAGAAGAGTCATTCTGGCGACGACTCAGAAGTGGCTAATTTCATGCAAGAAACAGACCCCCAGACAGTAGGAGGCTCACGCGAGATTCACAATCCTATTTACAGGAAATCAACACGTGGAGATCCGTACAAGTCAGAGAACGAACAGCCACTATCCTACCGTATATGGACGTCGCTTGCCGTCTTCAGAAGGGACGACCTCAAGTATGCTGTCAAGGTTGGCATTGGTGCAGTCCTCTGGGCTATGTGGTCCTTTATCCAATCGACAAGAGGCTATTATAGTCGATGGCGTGGCGAGTGGGGTCTATTGTCGTACATGTTGGTTTGCTCTATGACCATAGGCGCTTCCAATACCACAGGGTACCAGCGTTTTGCTGGTACCTGTCTGGGTGCTCTGCTAGCAATTGCTGCATGGATCGCGGCTGACGAACACGCTCTTCTCCTGGGCTTTTTCGGCTGGCTCATTTCCCTGTTCTGCTTCTACATCATTGTCGGCAAGGGTAAGGGACCTATGGGTCGTTTCATCTTGCTGACGTACAACCTTTCTGCGCTCTACGCCTACTCTCTTTCCGTTAAGGACGACGATGATGACGATGACGAAGGTGGCATCTCACCTGAAATATGGGAGATTGTGATTCATCGAGTGGTTGCTGTTATGGTTGGTTGTCTTTGGGGTATTATTGTAACCAGGGTAATCTGGCCAATTTCCGCACGCCGTAAGCTCAAGAAAGGCACGTCCTTGTTGTGGCTCAAGATGGGATTGATATGGAAACGCGGGCCACTAAAGACTGTTCTCGAATCCAATGAGCACACAAGCAGGACACAATCGTTCATGTCTGAACGCGAGGAGATTGAACTTCGGAGATATCTGTCTCATCTAGAGACGCTGCGTGTAGCGGCTGCCGCGGAGTTTGAGCTTAGAGGCCCCTTTCCCAACAAGAGTTTTCAGATTATCCTCGGTGCGACGAGTCGCCTACTAGACAGTTTTCACGCAATGAATGTGGTCATATTAAGAGAGCTGAAAGCGTCGGACGGTGAGAAGGAAGCTCTGAGGTATACAAAGAAAGAGTGGACAGAGCTGAGTTGGCGTATCAGTCATTTATTCTCAGGTAAGCTTCATACTAGGTTGTAATTGGAGTTGAATGCTAACAAGTGACAGTCATGGCCTCCTCTATGAAGCTAGCATACCCGCTCAATGATGTTCTACCCAACATCGAACACACACGTGATCGGTTGCTTGCCAGAGTCTTCGAGTTTCGACAGCAGGATCTTGGCAAAACCATTGCTACAGACGAAGATTACGAGTTGTTGTATGCCTATGGTGGGTCCTTACTGTTTATACTTGAGATTGATCATCACCACTAACTTCAATACAGCACTGGTGACTGGACAACTCGCGCACGATTTGAACGTTATCGGACAGGAGATTGAGAAACTATATGGTGTCCTGAGCGAGGAGGACCTGAAGTTGCAGTGACAATGCATCGATTCGCTTACTTAATGAACCCTTTGTAACTACCATAAGTGTTGAGCACGTCTAATGTCATTACCAATGAATTTGTACTCGAGAATAATTGGGCATGTGCAAAGAGCTCCTTCAGATCTAGTGCGCGATGATGGCAGAATGACTCATAATGTGACATCCTACATGTTGTACCATATGCGTTTAGGGATAGGGCAACCGAATGCTACACACCAATCATCATAGATACGAACAGCAAGTTGCTATTTGCACGTGCTTGCGTGATGTTCAATTGGTGACTAGAGACATCTTGACGTAGAGATTCCGTGTTATCGGTATTTGTTCATCGGAAATAGAGTACACGATACCCAAAAGGCATCCAAGCGCTCTTGTCTTAGAACCTCTAGTGTGATGGTGCCCGTGGGCGCATTGCAATGCTTTCACGGTACGTAACTTGAGCAGCATGGATTTATCCTGTGATCATTGCCAGATTCGTCTGATTGAAGAGATGACAATGCCATACAAATTTGACCAGCATATTGATGTGCACATATCCAATGGGCTTAGCAGAGCTACTGCTATGCATGCGACACACCTGCTGAGCATCTAGTCGCCGTTGTGTTGGTGGGAATTTGGCTAGTGGTCACGTGGCGGCCTTGGCGCTCTAAGCGATCACGCACCTGTGTTGGAAATTACCTCGTACCTCTCAGCTTCAACAACGGTAAGTCGACAACGACCACGGACGACAACAACATCGAAAATGTAAGGAATCCCGAACAAATATCCTTCAGCACTGCTTCAAAGAGAAACCCCGTTCCCGCTGCACACTCGGCGCCTCGCATTCGTGCCTCTGAGGCGCTTGTGCAGTGGCGAACCCCTCTTCCGACGACCACCTCCTCCGTCGCCAACAACCGCACAAATGATCAAAATACTGACATGGGGTGTTTCATAGGGTCAACCTCCGCACTCAGAAGCGCCTCGCGGCCTCCGTGGTCGGTTGCGGAAAGCGCAAGATCTGGCTCGACCCCAACGAGGTCAGCGAAATCGCCAACGCCAACTCCCGCCAGACCGTCCGCAAGCTCGTTCAGGATGGTCTCATCATCCGCAAGCCCGTCACCATGCACTCTCGTGCCCGCGCCCGGGAGCTGAATGCCGCCCGACGAATTGGCCGACACCGTGGTTTCGGTAAGAGGAAGGGTACCAAGGACGCTCGTATGCCAAGGTATGCAATCACGTTGTCTTTTTAATGCTGGATATGGGGACGAAGAATCGTTTTTGGGATATCATGGACAATGGGAACCGTTAACTAATGCGGATGTGCAGCCAAATCGTCTGGATGCGCCGTCTCCGTGTCCTCCGCCGTCTCCTCGTCAAGTACCGCGCCGCCGGCAAGATCGACAAGCACCTCTACCACGAGCTCTACCTCCTCTCTAAGGGTAACACCTTCAAGCACAAGCGTGCTCTCGTTGAACACGTATGTTGACCATGACATCATGACTATGTCAATTTCCCGCTCCATGGTCGGTAACTAACGCACATTACAGATCCACAAGGCCAAGGCCGAGAAGGCCCGCGAGAGGGTCATCAAGGAGGAGATGGACGCCAAGCGTGCGAAGACCAAGGCGGCTCGCGAGAGGAGGCAGGAGCGTATCCAGCAGAAGCGCCAGGCTCAGCTGGGCGACGAGGAGTAAAGAATGGATGTCGTGACGAACACCTGGCGTGGGTCTTTTCAAGGTTAAAGGAGGGCGTCAATCTCCTTTTTATCTGGGCATATGCGGTCATGTTTCATGTTACGTCTGTGAAGGACTCTTCTCTCCATGCATATTCGACCGACAAGGGTGCCCCCTCTCTGATTTTCGATGCTATGACTGTACCAAAAATAAAAGGGATATGAGCATCGGCATTAGAAACCAGTAGTCAAACTTGGAGTTGGTCTGCTTTGATCCATTGAATGTGTTTGTGGCCTTGGTGATGGTGTGATGCCATTGCTATATGTGCGCAATGAATGCTACTGGTCAGGCAAAGCAAGTGACAGTAATAAGATTGATCGATTACAAAGTTTTCCGAGTGCTTCTTTCACAAGTAATACAATACACGCCTATTGCCTGCACAGGGTATTAATGAATCTCTAACGCCCAATGTAAACGCCATGTCGACTCCCAACTCCCACATGTTGCCTCGTGTTTAGATCTGTAAAAAAGTTAGCATCAATGCTTCTACTAACGTGGTTCTGGCTACTCACCAATTTCAGAGCGCTTCTATGCACAGCCCGTGTAAAGTTGAGCATAGCCTTGGCCTTGTTGTTGCCCCTCTGGAGCCTCCTATATGCCTCTTGCACATGACTCGGCTGTACCGGTTCCCTAGCCTCCTCTGGCGGATCAAACAAGCCTCGTTCCCGCTTCCTCTTAAGGCGGTTCTGCTCGCCACCGTGATTCTTCTTGTACAAATCCTCTGCATCCTTGACCTTGAGCGCCTCCTCGGTAAGCGTCTGGACAATCTCAAACGTCAAGAAACCTAGGATATCGATGATGTCGTCAGAGGGTTTGGAATCGGTGATGAGGCCGAAGCCGGCCCATTCTTTGAAGCGCTTGCTCTTGCGGTAGGTAAAGGATGCTTGACGGCAGTCAGACCAGTGCACGTATTCCTCACGTGTCATGTTCTTTGTGCGCTCGTCTGCATTCTTAAGGCGCTGCAGGGTCGCGTAGTTCATTTCCTCTTCTTCCTCGTCTTCCACGTCGTCTTTTTGCGGGGGGAACTCGGTAAAGAAGGATTGAACGTCCCAGACGAGATCGACTTTGGCTCGCTTGGCTTTCTTGGAGGCGTCGACGGGTGCGGCACCGGGTCCGCCTGCGCCTACTACGCCAACGGCTATGTCTGCGTCTCCGGCTCCGACGTCGGCGCCTGCATCGCCGCCTTTGTCGTCGGAGTCTTTGACGGAGCGTCGGACGTCTTTCCACTGGAGGAAGTGGCGGAGACGCGAGATTTTGGCGCGGTCGTGCCGGATAAGCATGAATAGGTCGTCGGTAGAGATGGATTTTGAACCACGGCGGGTGGCGAGGGCGGTGCATTCACGCAACATGTGTTGTACTTGGTCTTGTACGATCGACTCGATCAAGGTGGTTGTTTCGGGTGAGGGCTCGCCAGTCTCACCAGAGACGAACATCATCTGCTCGACGGTTAGGCCCAGGCCAATTTCAAATGGGAATAGGTCATCTGATGACAGGCTTTGTGACATTGGTGGCGAGGGAGGTGATGGGGATGATGCTGGTGAGGCCATGATACTGGCTTGTTACAATGTAGGTAGGGATACGAGATTGAGTTGAGGAAGCGGATGAAAAACAAGGTTGGCTATGGCATGCTGCCTATGACCTTTATCCTGAACTCGGATACAAACATGTTGGGTAAGGTGAGAGACAGGCGAAACAAATGTGAACAAGAATAGGCTGCCCTGGCCCGCATAGATAGATGCGAAGCAAGAGAAGGGCGAATCGCCTGTACTTGGACCACTTTCTCCATAAGAGGTACGAAACAAAAGATAGTTCGAGAAAACTACCAGTCGAAGCGATAGCCATATCCTCACGATGTGCATATGGAGCCTGTTGCAAACAGGAAAGGAATCCACAGATAAGATGAACAAAGCAGGTGATAACGAGATTTACTCTGGTTTCCCCTATTCCTTCTCTTTCTCTCATGCAGTCTCCAGCAAAGCAAAATAGCGAAATAGATAGATAGCATGGACAGTAAAATGAGATGAACTAACCTGTTGGATCTCCGTCCGATACTTGGCCAACTTATCCTTGTCCGACATAATGGCTGACTTTCCGCACCCAAGACACTAGAAATCATATAAGACGTGTCGCGCGATCAACAAAGTTCTATGGCACAGGAATTAGATTAAAATAGGCGCTATGTTTGGCGGTGGGCGTGAATGAAGGCCAGGTTGCCGACGCGGTTTGCGGTCTGCTAGCGTGATCTCAAACGATGCTGGGCCTCATGCAACAACGCTAGGCCAAAATGGGCTCAGCCCTACGAGCCAAATGAGCCCCGCCAACATTTTTGTGAATTTGGCCGCATACCCCACCATCACCAATAATTTATTCACCAAATAAGTCGAGAATTGCCGAAAATGCTGTACCTCGTGGGTCTCGGTCTGGCGGACGAGAAGGACATTACTGTCAAGGGTTTGGACATTGTGAAGAAGGCCGAGCGCGTCTATCTCGAGGCGTACACTGCGGTATTGCTGGTGGAGAAGGATGTGCTTGTGAGTTGAAGACGATGTGAATAGACAAAGTGCTCGATATCTAATTGTCACGGCAGTAGGAGGCATTCTATGGCCGCGAAGTCATCATTGCGGACCGTGAAATGGTCGAGTCTTCAAGCGACGATATCCTCAAGGACGCCGACAAGGTCGATGTCGCATTCCTAGTAGTAGGGGACCCGTTTGGGTAAGAACTCTGTTTTGGTAGCCATTGGAATAATTTCTAACATTATCAAAGCGCGACGACACATACTGACCTTGTCCTCCGTGCCCGCGAACTCTCCATTCCCACCCGTTCGATTCCCAATGCCAGCATTCTCACTTCCATTGGCACCACTGGCCTGCAACTCTACAACTTCGGACAAACCGTATCCATGGTCTTCTTCCTCGACAACTGGAAGCCCGCCTCCTTCTACGATCGCATAAAAGAAAATGTTTCTATCGGCTTGCACACGCTTGTGCTCCTAGATATCAAGGTCAAGGAACAGAGTCTAGAGAATATGGCCAGAGGACGCAAGATCTACGAGCCACCGAGGTACATGACAGTCGCACAGTGTGCGCAGCAGATGCTGGAAATTGAAGAGGACGTAAAGCAGGAAGGTGCATACACAAAAGACAGTCTGGCTGTTGGTGTTGCGAGAGTAGGAGCAGAAGATCAGCAAATCGTTGCAGGAACACTAGAACAGCTTTGCGAAGCGGATCTAGGCAAGCCACTACATAGTCTGGTGCTGTTGGGCAAACGGACGCATGACCTCGAGAGGGATTTCCTCGAGGAATTTGCTGTGGATAAGGAGAAGTTCAAGGAGATTTGGAAGAGGGATTATGAGGGGAAGTCATAGAGCAAGAGAAACTTATTGTTTCTCTGTGACATTGAATATATGTGCCAGTATTTGGTAGCATACAACTATATTTCTGAGACATGGTGGCTCCCTTGGGCCAGCGTACAGTAACTAAGCAAACCCCCAACAACGCTTTTTTACTGTATTGTACACAGCATCGCATCACACTCACTTCTAGAATCATCCGTCTTCACCCATTTCCCTTCCTCCTTCCCTTGCTTCTTCTGTCTGATGATCTTCTCTCTCACATGGACTCGGTCCTCCGTGCTCTCGGCACTCAAAATCAATCCATCTATACTTGATAGTAGGCGCCGCACAAGTCGCATCAGTCTTTCGTGCATTCCTGCATTCTTTCATATATTCGTCTGTGTAGGAAAGGCCGCCTTTGGGCCCACACCCGTCGCCTTTGCGCTTACAGCGTGTGTAGTCGGTTTGGTATGTTGTACACATTTCTGTGGTCGCAGGTGGTTGAGTTGGTGACTCGAGAAGGCGAGATTAAGAACAAATTCATATATATTATATATATGGGTGTATCATTGTGATGGTGTGTGAAGTGTTCCAGCCTCGAGGAGTTTGCGCATATTTAATCACCTCTCAACTCCTTCACCTACAGCGGTTTTATGAATGCTCTTGTATTGATTGTGCTTTTCAGCTTTCTTTTTCCTAGATATAATCAGGATCGAAATCGTGACTTTTCTGTAAAGTTTGCATTGCGATTTCCTTCGAATGGCGCGCCGCTACCACCAACGTAACATCATCCCCGCTGATTCTGTGCAGTAATTCCAAAATGTGTATATATTCAAGCTGACTCAGGTACGCCAAGTGCTCCGTCCGAATACGTAGAGGGGCCACTGTCGTACCACGAAAGCAGTATTATCTGACGTCATACTTAATCACCGTTGGTTAATCGGGTGGTGCTTCCATCATGCTTCAGTTTCCATGACCTTCTTGCTTACTCTACACCCCTCAGGAACCCGACGATTCCGACCCGACGATTCAGCGGCATGTCAAAACCTAACATTGACATAAACAATCCCAGTTCCCCTGGTGCAAAACTTCTTCAGGATATCATTGATACACATACATCCTATACACCTTTACCTTTGGAAAGAAACAGCGGAACAGAATTGTATCGAAAACACAGCGACAAAGAAGATAAAATGCAAGATGCAGCGTCGCAGAGTTATAGACCAGGCCCACAACGGTCAAGTTCGAGACGCACAGCAAATGGATACATGCCCATTGAAGATTATGGGTTGATCGGGAACATGCGGACTTGTGCGATGGTTGCTATGGATGGCGGACTTGATTACATGTGCTGGCCACATTTTGACTCGCCATCCGTCTTCTGCCGTATTCTCGACAAAGAAAAGGGTGGCCACTTCACTATAGGCCCAACGAACGACGACTTTTGTACTACGAAACAACATTATCTTCCCGCGAGCAACATTCTCCAGACGCGCTACTTGAAGGAAGAGGGCGTCATGAATGTTGTGGATTTCTTCCCAAGGCCAAATAACAAGAACTGGGATGCCCAGTTTCATGCTAATGTCATCGCGAGTGAGCACAATGGCAATGTGCCCGAGCGTCCCGATTTGAAGAAGTGGCTTGTTAGGCGAGTGGAATGCATGCGAGGCACCGTCGGGGTGAGTGTACAGGTGTTTCCTGCATTCAACTATGCTCAGGACAAGCACACTACCGAGATCACCGACCTGGGCAAGACTCCACAGGGACAGCGCCTACAGCGCGTGATCTTCAAGTCTAAAGATCTGTCTCTGGAATTGAATGTGACCATCGACTGTGGTGATGAACCAGAAGCGTCATGCCCAAGAATTGCTTTTGAGAAGACGCCCGAGCCCCAGAATTTGGGGGATGGGGTCACGGCTATCTTTACATTAACTGAGGGGCAGGCAGTGTCCTTCATTTTGCGCGATGCAGAAGACCACAGCCCAGACATAATTGAAACCAGCCAAGTTGTTGAGTTGCAACAGAGCACTCATAAGTATTGGGCTAGATGGACCCAGCAAAGCAAGTATGTGGGTAGATGGGAAGAGATTGTTACGAGGAGCCTGCTCCTCTTGAAGATGTTGACATTCGAGCCGAGTGGAGCAATCGTTGCTGCACCGACATTCTCTTTGCCAGAAGACTTTGGGGGTATGTCGCTTCCAGAAATGATGAAGCACGTACTGATATGGTGTAGGGTCACGCAATTGGGATTATCGCTACTCATGGGTGCGAGATGCGTCTTTTACGATATACATCTTTCTGCGAATGGGTTTTAGCCATGAAGCCGAAGCCTACGTCAGTTACATCTTCCAACGCGTCAAGGAGGCCAAAGCACGCCATGGAGCGCTTCCAATCATGTTTAGTATCCATGGAGCAAGCGACTTACCCGAGGTTGAGCTTCCCCACTTGGAAGGCTATAGAGCGAGTCAACCCGTTCGTATTGGAAATGGAGCGGCCTCCCATATACAGCTTGACATATACGGTGAACTGATGGATGGAATCTATCTCGTAAATAGATTCGGACGCCCAGTTTCGTACGATCAGTGGCTTTCAATTCGGGAAATCGCGGATTACGTCTGCACTATCTGGAAGGAGCCAGACATGTCAATCTGGGAGGTTCGTGGTATGAAGCAAAACTTTGTCTATAGCAAGATGATGTTGTGGGTAGCGCTTGACCGAGCATTGCGCCTTGCAGACAAAAGGAGCTTCCCGTGCCCGCACCGGGCAGAGTGGTACCGAGTACGTGACGAGATTTACGAAGAGATCATGGAAAAGGGATACAACTCCGAGTTGGAGTGTTTCATCCAGAGCTACGAGTCGAATGAAGTTCTGGATTCAGCTGTGCTAATAGCGCCTTTGGTCTTTTTTATAGCGCCAACAGACCCTCGCTTCCTGAAGACGCTTGATCGGATACTAAAACCTCCTGAGAAGGGAGGCTTAACTAGCACTGGCCTGGTATTCAGGTACAACCACGCGCTTAGTGATGACGGTGTAGGCGGGCAGGAAGGCAGTTTTTCCATGTGCACTTTCTGGTTGGTCGAAGCACTCACACGAGTAAGCACTCCAGTTTCCTACATAACCGCTATTCTATTCGCGTGTATCTTTGTCTAATGAATGCAGGCTGGAGCGTACGACGAGAAGTATCTTTTGCAGGCTGTGACGATGTTTGAGAGCATGCTGAGTTTTGGAAATCATTTGCACATCTTTTCCGAGGAGATTGCGCGATCAGGGGAGCAGTTGGGCAACACTCCACAAGCGTTTAGCCATTTGGCGTTGATATCCGCAGCATTCAACTTGAACAAGACGTTGAGCAGCCGGCACCGGTAGAGGGGGCGGTATCGAGTGTTGGTGGAGGACATGGACAGAGCGACGTAATGCAGTATTACTAGTCAATACAAACCCGGGGCGAATTGGTCTAGACGTCTACGCTAATCTGGAGGAACCGCAATGATCAGCAATCAGTGCGTCATGGCTGCACTGTCCTCCATCTGGAATGAGATTCAATGTCGCTAAGTTAATTGGGCTAGGTATTTACCGCCGGACGCCTATGAGGGCGTGGCGCACAACAGGTCGATCCCCTGACAGTGACACGCACAGTGCAGCGCACTGACTGGATAATCTCTTTCAACACATGTCCCAGTCTCGCATGCCTTCAACCTTCCAGCAAGCTGTTCCAACACATCGCCAGCAGGTCATGATATAGCACACGTTTTCCTTTTCTTTTCTATTCAATTTCTGTCAACCATCAGCCAACTTGCCCCCTTCTTCCGGCCATCCCGCATCATCCGCACAACATACGTAGCGTCGTCATCGTTTGCTCTACCAACGCGTTCCGTCCCAGGCAGTACCAGCATTAATACACCACCATGTCGCTCCCATCCAACTCCTCAGTCGCGTCAAGCCTTGCGACAATTGACGAAAAGTACGATATGGGTTCCTCGCGCAACGATGATATGCTGGTTCGCGACTTTGGTTGGCCCTCAGTCTCTCCACGCTACCACGGTGACCACACACCCGAGAGCAACCCAGATTGGGATCACAACCCGCTCGAATGTGAAAAGGCAAAGCAAGAGGCTTTTGAGAAGATGGAAAGAAGCTACGCTTTGTACATGGCGAACCTAGGGAAAAAAGTGCCTGGGCAGAAGAAGAAGACATCTTGGTCCAGGTTCCTACCTTGGGTGCGATAGAGATGGGCGGCCTGGCGAGGGTGCGCCTGCTTGTTGTGATGTTTGAAAAATATGGATACCCGTTTGGCCGACCGATACATATACACTGCAAGGGACAGCCATTGTTATATGAAAAGAGAATGTAAAACTTAATAACCGAGTAGGAGTGGGGACTGGGGCAGAGGGGCAGTGGTGCACTACCTCAACCCCAGCTATGGTTTGGAGGCTGCTCGGCCTTGCAGTATGAGGGAGCATACTGAGCCAAGGAAGACGCGGGGTTGGAGCGCACCTTTGGCTTGTCTGGAAGCCATTTTTGATACCCTATTTCTTTGTCATTTCGTATGTTTCGCAGAGTCTTTGCGCGTCGTCGTTTCGCAGTCTTTTGAGCGCATGTTGTTCTTGTATACCTCCGATTTAGATGTGTTCTTTCTGCAATGGCACTCGCGCCACATAATTCTATGTAGTACACAATATATGAATGGACCGTTCCAAGAAACACTATTCCTTTGTTGGTGACTTGCATGTTGCCGCAGATTGAGTATCGCGGGGTTCATCTCGTCCTTGGGACGATCGGGAATTCTCTTCCAATCCACTATCGTGCGGCGGTTGACCATTTCCGGTCAAGGCATGAACATAACTAGAAAGGGCTCCACTGCACAACGTGTCCAGTTTTTCTCGGCGCAGCAATTTCAGAAGACTTGCATCTTGTGGGTTGCTAATACTAGAGTAGTCTGCTTACATATTTCTGTTCCATCCCATTACCGCTTGTCATAACTCAACCGCCATTTTCAGCTCGTACAAAGCATCCACCATGAGCTCTACGCTAGAACAAAAGACTATGCGAGCGCAGCAATATGATGCGCGAGACAACAAGCTCCATCTCAATGAAGTATCTATCCCACAGCCCCGCGAGCATGAGCTCCTCATCAAGATGCAATGCGCATCTCTCTGTCACTCTGATGTGATGCTCTTCGAGCCCAATGAACAAGGTCTTATTCTCGGCAAGAACCCTGTTACCATCGGCCACGAAGGCTCGGGCAAGGTCGTTGCGACTGGGTCAGGAGAAGTAGCCAAGCAATTTAAAGAGGGAGATGCAGTGGGTTTCCTCTGCGCTGTCGACTGCTGCTTCGAGTGCTATTCCTGCAAGAACGTCAGTAACATCTGGTGTTCAACGGGGCAGACCAAGATACAGGGATTTAGTGCTGATGGTTATTTTGCCGAGTATGCAGTCGTGGATGCAAGGGAAGCCATCGTTTTGCCTGAAAATTGTCAGTTCATGTCCCGTTCAAGCAATACGGATTGGGGATGAGGAGATAATTGTGAGGGCGAAGCGCTAACTTTAATATAACAGTGGATCCTAAAACATCAGCACCTCTTTTCTGCGCTGGTGTAACCGCATACCACGGCATCGCAGACTGCGAGTTACCTGCTGGGTCCTGGCTTGCAGTCATCGGCTGTGGTGGTCTCGGGCACATGGGTATCCAGTATGCCAAGGCCATGGGCCACAAAGTCATTGGCATTGATATTACCGATGCGGCTGTAGAAGAAGCAAAGAGTTGTGGTGCGGATTACACCTTCAATTCCATGACGGACCAGGATTACAAGAAGAAGATACTGGAGCTCACAGGCGGTGGTGTGCATGCGGCAGTCAACTTTACAGCGTCCAAGAAGTCGTACGATGACTGCCCGGCAATAGTCAAGCCTGGTGAGGGTATGATCATGGTGGTAGGTATTCCGCAGAAGCCATTGGAATTCAACGGCCTGGATATTGCGATGGGTCGTTACAAGGTCAAGGGATCGAACAATGGAAGTAAGTCAAACCTGTCTTCTTTTTTTTCTATTTGAGACTAGATCATGGAAGCTGACTAAGGTACAGCATGTTACAACATGAGGGAGGTGATTGAGTTTTCTGCAAAACATAATATCAAGGCGCACTTGACAACGTTCCCGCTGGAGGAGGTACCCAAAATGGTCGAGCTGATGAACTCACACCAAGCAAAGGGACGCATGGGTGTGATTTTTGATTAGAAGGCAGGCAGTTGAGAGTCCAATGAGAAGTATGGGACAGCAGGAACTATGCACCATAGCAATAAGGCCGGATTTAGACGTGTAGTAAAGACAAGCATGCACTTGTGTGGCTTTGACCCAAGTGTTACCCGGGCAACGCTAGGCGATGAGGGAAAGCGCGCCCCTAGCGTGCATTTACACATGCGCTGCCCCGCCGCCCGCCCTGAAACATATGCACAACCAACAACACCCACGCCAGGTAGGAACTTTTGACTCTCCCGCCTACAATTCTTGATACCTTCCTTTTTCTCTTTTTCTTTGTGATACCCTCCCTTTTGCCGGCGCCATGGGTTCTGACGACCTCATCGACTTCGAGGTGATTGAAAACCAGAAGGAAAACATACAGTCGCTCCCCAGCGGCCGCTCCGCCAAAGCCCTCGCCCAACTATATACACCGCCACTGACATCGGCCGCCGGCCAAGCCCCCTCGCCGTCGCAGATGCAAGATGCCAACAGCGCGACTCGGCTGCAGTATGAGAAGGAGCTCATGGCCATTGACGACTCGGATGACCCCCTCGACGTTTACGATCGCTATGTCAAGTGGACCCTGGACGCATACCCTTCCGCCCAGAACACACCCCAGTCACAGCTCTGCCCGCTGCTCGAGCGTGCAACAAAGACTTTTCAGTCGTCGCCGCAATACAAAAACGACGCTCGTTATCTCAAGCTCTGGCTGCACTACATCCACCTCTTCTCAGATGCGCCCCGCGAAACCTTTGCATACCTCGCCCGACACCACATTGGCGAGGAGCTTGCGCTGTACTACGAAGAGTTTGCCGCCTGGCTAGAGTCTGCAGGCCGCTACGCACAAGCAGAGGAAGTGTACAACATGGGCATTGAGCGCGGGGCCCGTCCAACAGAGCGCTTGATTCGCAAGTATGGTGAGTTCCAGCACCGATGCGAGAGCCGGCCGCAACAAGCAGAGGAGCCTACGAGCCCAGCATTGCCCGCTGTCCGCCCAGCGCTCGCGGCCAAGGTAGACCCGTTTGCTCTTGCCTCACCAAGCGCTCCTGCTCCACAAGCACAGGCTCAGCCAAAAGCTGCTGCAGGTACATCGCGCTCAGGAAAAGCCAAGCTCGCCATTTTCGCAGATGGTGATGACGCGGCAAAGCCCACCTCGAGTGGCAGCACCGAAGGTTGGGGCAACATTGGATCGCTGGCGGATCGCAAAAAGGAGAACACACAAGAGGCACGGCCTTGGGCTGGCGAGACTCTGAAGGTTGGAAAGAAGAATGCGGGCGTTCCGAAAATGGCAATCTTCAAGGATGAGGTGAGTTGAGCTACCTCCGTCGGCCCCTTCACATATTTACGATTACAGGACTAATTGGTGGGCGTTTTGCCATTCATGTATTCAGAGCAAATCAAATCTCAATGACGAAAACGTCAACTCTCATCCATTACGTGAATACCAACAAGCTGTCAATCCAAGGACAGGACGGCTCGAGGTCGTCTTTGTCGATTTAGAGAAAGTGTATCCTAACCATGAAGATCCAATGTCTGAAGAGTATTCTTTTGAGGAGTTGCGGGCTAAACACAGGGGATGGCTGGATCATGATTGGGCTGCCATCCGAAGACAAGAAGAGCAGGCGAGAAAAGATGCTGAAGCAGCACTTGCTGCTGCTCAAACGAAACCTAAGGCCATACCTTTAGCACCCAAGCAAGAACCTGAACCAATTGCTAAGCCTCAAACAGTACCGTTGAAGGGAAGTGTTGATGATGATATGGGCAATGACGAGAATGCGCCACCCTCGCAGGCTGATGTAGATAAAGCGAAGGCAGCGAAAAAGGCCAGACGCGAAGAGCGTGCCAACAGGACTAGGAAGATTAAAGTCATGGAAACCAAGGAGATCCGTGGAGAAACACAGATGAGTAAGTAGCGGTGATTTATCAGGTACGTATTATACTAACATTGCATAGTCCAAGCCAATCTGGATTCTCCGGCAAAATCCAAGGTGCGACGGAAAAAGGCTGGTCCCGAGATGACTATGACGCTCCACACCAAGGAAGCCATGGACGAGATCTACGATATATTTAACGAGCCGCTGAAGAACGCTGATGATAATGTTTCTGAAGCCCAGAGCGGCGAGGAAAGTAGCGATGATGACGAAGATGATTATTCCAGTGGCGCTGAGAGCACAGGGACTGGCCGTATATCTGGCGCAACAAGCGAATATGGAGACGAGACGACAGTTGGAGGTGACTTTACACTCGGCACTAGAGTCCTACACCATGATGATGACGATGATGACGATGATGACGAGGATGACGAGGATGACGAGGATGGTGATGACAATGACGAGAGCGGTTCAGACGATACAGACGCAAAGAGTGTATCGGAGTCGTCTGACTTTACCGAGATCAAACCTGGACAAAAGGATGACGAGCAAGATGAGTATGGGAATGAGTCTGAGCATTCTGATCAATCTCAAGATGACTCCTTTAATGAAACATCGAACGTAGATGGCGAATCGGAGCACCAACAGGACGAGCGGGTCGTCACTCCTACATCGCCTTCAGGACCGAGATCTCTCCCAACGCGCTTCGTCCCCGTCCCACCTGAAGACTACAACCCTGCCATGCGACCATATAGAGATCCAGTCGTCGTTGCCAACAACCGGTTACCCTTTATGACGCCCATTGTGGAAAAGACCGAGTCATCCCTAGGCATTGCCACGGCTGTAGCGCAGAAAGAGTATTATGCGGCCAAAACACCCTCGCGGTCAAAGGGTACGCCTGCCATTATGGAGGATGATGACGAGGAGACCTGCAGTAGCCCCTTCTCTGATATTCTGGGACAAGTCATTGACGGGCCAGGCAAAGTTGCAAAGCTAGCTCTGACCGATTCAAAACCAGTGCCTAAAGAGCCTCTAGACGAGCCGCAGCGCAAGCCATTAGCCGCAAAAGAGCCTCCAGTTACAGTGACCAAGCCTAGTAGACCGATCATCAAGGACACACAGTGCAACCCAGTCGACGATAGTATCCGCAAAGCCATTCTACAAGAGATTCAACCCCCGCTGGAAAGCTACGAAGGTTACTATGCCGACACCGAGCAAAGCTATGGAAAAGGCGCGGACATTCGAAAGTACACAAAAGCAGTATCAAAATTGAGCAAGAATGCACAGGACAAGACGGCAGCCAATGTTGGGGCATGTCCTACCTTGGAGTTTCCTGGGACAGAGCGGACTTATGTTGTGAAGCGTGAGCTTGGCAAGGGAGCATTTGCTCCAGTATACCTGGTGGAGAGCAAAGAAGCAGAAGAAAACGACGAGAACAAACCTTCGCAAATGGGCAAGGGTGAGTTTGGTCCGAAGCGTCAACCTCTGGAGGCGATCAAAATGGAAGATCCGCCAACACCGTGGGAATTCTACATTATGCGGCAGGCCAAACGACGACTGGGTGTGTCACGAGCAGCCGAGTCAGTTGTCAACGCATACGAGATGCACGTGTTCAAGGACGAGTGCTATCTGGTTGAAGAGTATCGCAATCAAGGAACACTGCTCGACTTGGTCAACCATGCTTGCGCGGACAATGGAGCAATGGACGAGCAGCTGGCCATGTTCTTCACTATTGAGTTATTCCGTACAGTGGAAGCTTTGCATTCCAAGGGCATAATACACGGTGATCTCAAGTCAGATAATGTTCTGGTACGGTTCGACACACTCCAGAAGGACGGGCACTGGGATTCCGAGTACAAGCGCGACGGGCGTGACGGGTGGTCTGCCAAGGGCATTTCGCTGATTGACTTTGGTCGGGGCATTGACATGAAAGCCTTCAAGCCCGAAGTGCAGTTTATCGCGGATTGGCCAACGACCGAGGCTGACTGCGCCGAGATGTGCGAACTGCGACCTTGGACTCACCAAATTGACTACCATGGCCTCGCTGGTATTGTCCACAATCTCCTGTTTGGAAAGTACATCTCGGCAGTTGCTGAACGGGGTGCTACTCTGGGCTCAGGCGCGACTAAGACGTACAAGATCAAGGAGAACTTAAAGCGGTACTGGCAGACTGAGATTTGGCACGAGTGCTTTGACTTGTTGCTGAACCCGCTGATGCATCTTGACGGCGAGGAGGGAAGGCGACTGCCGGTGCTCAAGGGGATGAAGGGGTTGAGGGAGAAGATGGAGGAGTATCTCGAGAACAACTGCGAGAAGGGTGTTGGTCTCAAGGTGCTCGTTAGGCGGATGGAGGAAGTTGTGAAGCGGAGATAAGGATAATGATTTGAGAAGTTTGAGGGCTGCATTGGTTGGAGTTGTTTGACATGACTAGACGTACGTGATACCTTTATGAGCAATGATTTTACATGCTTTTTTGTTAGACTCGCATCTGATTGGAAGAGCATTGAATAAGAGCATTTCAGGTGTTGTGTCGCGTGGCTCTTGGTTGACTTGATATGATGTAAGTGCGGTGCCACCGGGTAGTAGTACTCTGGTGTTTGCGTCCGTGCATAGCGTGGGTGCCTTGAGCTTGCGGGGAGCTTGTACACCTCCGGCTTCTGTACTGGGTACATTGCATACAATTGTCCTACTGCCACTTCTTCTCTTGACATCCCGCTTATTTGCTTTGTTTATGCCGACAGGGACAAAAAGCTTGCTTACAACAGAAGGCGACACGCTGTACCTCAGTATATTGGAAGATAGAGAAGAAGAGTGAGAGCATCTACACACCCCCACATCATCATCGCCGCCCGCCGCCTCAGCTACTCGCTCGACCACCCAGACTACTCGACCCCACTGCGACCATGTCGGCCGACCTAAGCAGCTTGCTGTTGTCTTTTCAGCCTGACAGTCCCGATGTTGAGAAGAGGCGGGATTATGATCTCAAGGCCCGCAGCTTTGTCGCACAATTGTCCAACGTCTCTGCACCACATTGGGTAAAAGGCGCGGATACATCACAAGATGTGCTTGTAGTGGGTATGCTTCCAGGCACTTGATTGAAACTTGCTAACGTTATAGATACTCAACCCTGCTGTCAACTCAATGGCATACGCCTTTGCCCTCCGCAACCGTATCGCCGCCCTGCTGGAGAAGAAGAGCGTGCCCGAGGCGCTACAGCCCGGAGGTGACTTGTGGAACCAGATGGTGTTGTTTTTCGAAACTGCGGATCCTATACAGTTGCGCTACGTAGGGAAAGAGTGGAAGAATCTGATTGAGTACACAGAGGAGATAGCACGTGGGTGTGGATCAGTAGGTTCAAGTTGCCATGGCTGGCACGAGGAGAAGATGCTGACCGTGTCCAGCCGAGCCTTGCTATTGCGCCAATACGATCAGCCATGATGCGACTTGACCCTACCACGGGCACCTTCACGTCGGTCCACGTCAGCTTCATACACCTGTGTCTAGAGACGCGATCATACGCAGCCGCTGAACCCGTCCTGGACAATTACATCCACACACTCCCGCCAAAGATTCCAAGTGCAGTTCGTGAGGGACTGGAGTACTCTGTTCCATGTGCGGATGTAGCGAGTAGTGGAGAGTACATCCACCAAAATTCTGGCCATACGGACCGGGTTGGGTTGACAGATATACAAGAGTACTATGTTTTGGGGGCTATGGCGTACCTAGGCCTGGGACGATTCAAAAAGGCGCAACAGTTTCTTGAGCATGTGCTCGTGGTTCCCTCTGCCAATACAGCCAACGGCCTCATGTTGGAGGCTTACAAAAAGTGGGCACTGGTGAGCTGTCTGGTACAGGGAAAGGTATGTTATGGAGGAGAAAGACAAGAGCAAGCGCTGGCTGACCTGGACAGATGGGGAGTATTCCACGGACAGCGAATGCTAGCGCGATGAAGAACATCAAGGCTGCATCCAAGGCATACGAGGCGCTGGCAGATGCGTACGAAGAACTGGACAACATGTCCAAGTTGAAGGCTCAGGCACAAGCGGGTGGGGAGATATGGGCAGAGGTAAGAACGATGCAGGTGATTGTTGTGAAACATGGGTTGAAACGGCGGGATAGCATGTTTTGATGGAGGGCTGACAAAAGCATGTAGGATGGCAATGCGGGACTAGTCCGGGAGCTTATCAGCAGCCAGACGAGGACATATGTTTCACGGCTGTCACGGACATACTCTGCGATTCCAGTGTCTAATATTGCGAGACAACTGGGGGCTACGGGTGAGGAGATGTCGCAGTATATCGAGGGGCTGATCAGGGATGGGCAGTTGAACGGGCGGTTGGAGGAGAGTGACAAGTCGGAAGCTGGGGTGGTATTACGCTTCTATCTGGAAGCGAAACAGGGACCCTTGGCCAAGAACGAGAAGGAGCAGCAGCAGGCGCTATTTGCGCAAACGGTCCGCACAAACAAGCTGGCGGAGCAGGTCAAGGATGCCGACTACCGGATGACGCTAAGCAAGGAGTATATTGAGAACCAGAAGCGGGTGAATAAGAGGCAGGGCAATAATGGCGATGCCATGGACACTGCGTGGGATGATAGTTTGGAGGCGGAGGAGGACATGATGGGGGATTTGCACTGAGGAGGCGGTAAGGGCGGGTTGTGTAGGGTAGGTAGGATGGGGGTGAGTTGAGAGGGCAGGTGACCAAGGCAGGATAGATGAGGATACATGATTGGCATGACTGGGCCGGTCGGTGGGGTGCCATGGGGTTGGTGAGGGTAACGCATGAAATAGCTTATGGCAGCAAAGAGGCAGTTATTAGTAGGGATTAGCATGGGATGATGACGATGATGAGCATGGAAACAGCAGATGGAACAAAGACAAGGATGAGCCAATCGAGTAGAGATTCGATGCATGTCACATTGGTCTCGTGACGAAGCAGAAGAAGAAAGTAGCAGGAACCGCATCGGGCATGATGGCATTTGGGAGGGGGAGAAAGGGCAAGCGCGCGCGTGTGAGTGTTTTGGTATGGAGGTTACTTTTGTGATGGGATGCTTTTGGCGTCGGAGGCGTAGAGTGGGCCTCCCCCCCTCTTTCGTCCCCGTGGTCGGACCGGAAAGGCTGGTCAGCCGGGACCGAGAGATTGCAGCAGGACGTGCGGGCAGGCAAAAAAAGTGGAGGAGGCAGTGAGACGAAGGTATGTATGCGTGAACATGAGTAGTACGTCAGCGCTTGAGGGACTGGCAACGCAGGCAACCGGCGACTGGCGAACTGGCTACGAGGACAAGGCGCAAGCTTCTAGAATACGGGGCGGCAATCCTGGTCAGCCGTGGTAGGAGCGGATTTGCAGGGTCTGGTTGGGGCCTGGGCAGATTTGTCTTATGGCGTGGTGGACCTGGAACCAGCCGGGCTGATGAGGGCGCGCGAGGAGAGGAGAGATCCAAGAGGGGTGAGCACAGAGACAAGTCGAGCGACATGGGCATACGCTAGGCCGACTTAGGCCCACACACCCCTGACAGCCATACCAATACGACTTGGCGCCATGTGGCCGGCCGTCGCCGCTCCACATTCGTCTGTGTGTGAGGGAGAGGGCTCTGCGAGGGTGGGCGTGGGATTGGCCTGATGTGCCTGTGCCTGTGCCTGTGCCTGTGTGGGTGGCTGTGTGGGTGCAGGTGGCTAGGGGTCTCTTGCTTGATGACTGACGGCGAGACAAGGCCTACGAGAGACGCTCCAACTCCCACATACGCACCCACTGCATACATTCACCCACGCATTCCACGCCCACACCCACACCCACACCCCCCCTTTCTCTCTCTCTCCCTCTCGCCCTGCCCGCCTCTGTCTCTGCACGCCCAGAGCGCGTTCCTGCTTGGGCAACCATGCCCGCATCCGCTGTGCATTAACCGCTGGCTCGGCCTGAGACACGCACCCAGCTGCTCCATTCTCCACCATGAACCCCCAGGGCGAGCCCGCCGCCGGTGCAGCAGAGGCGCGCGCAGAACCGCTGTCAGGAACAGGCGAGCTGTTGTCGTTGCAGTCGCAGTCGCAGTTGCAGTCGCAGTCGCAGTCGCATCACCGCCGGCAGTCATCGTCGGTGGGAGCGGTCAAGCGGTCAGCCTCACTCAAGGACGCCGCCAACCCTCACCCGCACACCTCGCCCAAACCCCACAGCCGGGCCACACCGCCCCCTTCGGCTTCTTCCAGGCGACGGTCGAGCGCAGCCAACGGCGCAGTAGAGGCAATTGGCCTGTTGGCCGACCATGAGGGGAAGTCGCACCATCAGCCCTACCACCACCACAGCCAACTCCATCACCACCAGCCAAGCTACTCGCGCAAGCTAAGCATCACCTCTACCACCGGCGCCGCCAATGGCGCCCTACCACACCCACACGACTCCTCTCGTATCCATTCCTCGCCGCCCGCCCGCTCAAACAAACTGCACAACTCCAACGCCCGTTCGCCCACCTCCAGCCCCCGCCGCTCCCGCCCTCGCTCCCCGGTCCACGACCCCCCGCCCACAGGCACTGCACCCCCCAGGCTGCCCAAACTGCCCCCCATCCTGCTGCCCTCGACCGTCTACGACCCAAACACGCCCACATCCAGCTCCGCCGCAAACTCGCCCTCTGCAGCCAGCCTCTTTGCCCCCAACCTGCAATCCGTGAATGCCCCGCGAGACTACTTCAACTCCAAACCCACTCCACCCCAGCCCCCTGCCCAGCGCCCCCCCTCTCGCACCAGAGTCGACAAGGTGCTGGTCAAATCCCCCCTCGCCTCGCCCGCCATTCTCAACGAGGCTGACCCAAGGCACGACTCTGCGTCGGGCCCAGGTCGGCCGTCGACAGCACGGCGGCCCTCAGTCGCTGCTGCTGCAGTCGTCGTCGCCGCCGCCACCACCACCACCACCGCTACCGCCACCCCTTTGGGCCACAGGCACGCAGCATCACGCCAACACGCGGCGAGCCAGAGCAAAGACCATTCCCGAACCGCAAGCCGAACTCACGCCACAAGTCCAAGCCGGGATCACAATCGCAGTGAAAGCAACACCAGCGCAAAATTGGACGACCATTACCAAGGCACCCCACCCCGCACCCGCGAGCGGAGGGAAAAGGACAAAAAGACCATGTTGTCGCGGGCGCTGCAAAAGGCAAACACGGCCGTCCTGCTCGACAATGCTCAGAACTTCGAGGGCGCCATGGAGGCGTACGAGGACGCGTGCAAGCTCCTGCAGCAGGTCATGGTCCGCAGCTCCCAGGAGGAGGACAGGCGCAAGTTGGACGCCATTCGTGTAACATATACCAACCGGATAGAAGAGCTCCGTCGACTTGACCCTGCCTACACCCATGGCAGCGGCAAGTCACTGCCCGCTCGCCCTATGAGTGGGGAATCGCTGGACGAACACCGCTCAATGCTCTTGCTAGAGGACGATGACGAAGAGCCTGCAGTAATCCAAACTGCCTCTGTTTCTCGAATCGTAAACGACGCCTCGGTATACGAAAACTCCTTCGCCGGCGAACCAGAACAACTCCCTTCACACCAACTGCCCCTGCGCAGTGACTACCAAGGTCCCCGTGAGTCGGTCATCTCAACTGCCATCCGCGATATGCAAAAAGGCATGCAAAACTCGCAATTCAGTTTACAACCACCACCACCACCAGCCAGACTTGGGCCTTCGGCTACTTCTGGTCGCTCTTCGGTTGCCGAATCAGCAATGGATCGCACATATATGCCCCCGCCCCTATCGCCAAGGAGATCAAAATCACCCCTATTCGACAGCCAGAGTGAATCCAGACCCGACGAGCCCGGCCGGTTGTTGCAACCGCAGCAGACACTAGGGACCAACCACCAGCGAGTCCACAGCAACGAGTCTACATCATGGCTTGACACCATAGACGAATCCGGAGGTTCCTCGTGCTCCTCTTCGGTGCACTCCATGTCCCCGGGAGGGCCACGCCGAAAACACTTACGGAATCCAAGTGGAGAGACAGAAGCAGAGTTTGATGCGGCGCTCGATGCTGCCGTTGAAGCTGCGTACGACGACGGTTACGAACCTTATGATGACGACATGTCCACGCCAGCCGATCTAATATCGGCCAAGATGCGAAACGTGGAAATGGCCAAGGAGCGCGTACGGGAAGCAGAACGCGAAGAGGCTATTGCAGCCGCCAAATACCGTTACAAAGAAAACCAAATCCGCAATGAGGCACTGCCACACGTGCGCGAGACTGCCGAAATCACCCTCAACGACGAGGCGGAAGAGGAGGAAAGGCTACTCGATGAGATGACCAGAGAGTATATGCTGGATGGTTTCGATTTCGACTTGCAAACAAAATCAGCGCTGCCACGGCAGTCAGACTCGAGCAACTTTTCTGGAAGCACGTACAACAGTTCAGTGTCTTCGCACAGGACGACAGGTGGAACGTCGCTCTCAACCGTCACCGAAGTGGTCCACCCGCCATCCAAACCACCGCCCGCACATTCTCCTCCTACGGCCCCCGCTCCATCTGGTGCTCTACCTGCACTGCCCCCAGTTCTCGAGTCACAAGCATCCAATACGATGGATGCAGCAGAGGTTACGCCCCGACCCAATACCGCAACCAAGGACGCCGCTTCTGTGCGAAGCCGCAGATTGTCAGGGCAAAACGCTAAGTCGCTCAAGATCGAGACATCTGTGCTCAATATTCCGCCTGCACCGCATACGGAGAAACCGCCTGTACCAGCAAAGGACGTGCCCATTGATCTTCCTGCACAACCAAAGTCTGCTGCTGCTGCATCGTTTAGCACTAGCAAACCTTCCCTGGATTCGACATTCAAATTGCCTGCACTGCCGCAAATCGCTCAACAGACCAGTCTTGCCGCTCCTTCACCACAGCCCGCATTGTATAGTCCTTCTGAAAATGGTCCTAGTCCGTCGCCAATGATATACGGTGTCTCAAGCGAACCTAGTCTTGCGCCAGGTTCCCCCAAAACCGGAAAAACCCCAGCCTTGGGTATTAGAAAAAACAAATCTTCGCTTAGCTTGAAGCAGCGGAATTTGTCCATGTCTAGCCCAGATGGCTCAGACGTATCCATTGGAACGCCGCTCAGCACAACCTTCTCCGTCACCGGACGGAAGCCTAGCAACGCTGGACTGCCTATCCCAACCCCTAGCCTTCCCACGTTTAACATTGATGGCCTACCGAGCGGCGGAATGCATCTATTCGAGAGTGATATCCACTCGCCCTTTTCTCCTGGCTCGCCCAGTCCAGCAATTACAAATGCACCTATTCCACTGGAGCCATGTCCGGATTCGTACCTGCTGAGGCCATTTTGGTTAATGCGATGCTTCTATCAGACTATCGTGCACCCCCGTGGCGGTTACCTATCAACCAAGCTTTTCATTCCTCGCGATGTCTGGCGCGTCAAGGGTGTCAAACTGAAGAACGTTGAAGACAAGATTGCCAACTGCGACATGCTCACAGCGACCCTGCAGAAGCTAGCTGCTGTCGACACAAACGATGCGGACGCCGTGCTAGAAGAGATGCAGTCTCTAGAACTAGTGCTTGACCAGATACAGGCTCAACTAGCCAAGAAGCTGGGTAACGAAGTTGGTATCCAATCTGTATCAATCCTCTTCAAAGATGCAACTACCGTTGGCGAAGGCGCAGCATCTGCAGACGGCTTTTCCAAGGGCCCAACAACTAGCCAGGACTTTGTACCCAAGGGTGCTGTTGCCCAGGGCAAGTCGTACCTGGCGTCATGGCGCAAACTGCGATCCAAGAACTCTGGTGTCAATCTTGCCAACATGGCTACCGGTGCCACGAAGAGTACAGAGGTGCCCAAGGATACGCTTGTCATGGCTACCCTTCCCATGACGAGTTTGACAAGCATACGTTTTGCAAAGCGCGACATTTCGGGCATAAACTTCGAGGGCCCCAATGCAGGATACATGGGATCTTTGGCGCGCTTGTTTGATGCAGTCCAGATACTGGGTGAGTGTTTTGCTTTTTTTGCTTTTTTTGCTTTTTCACTTCTTAAATGCTCTGCAACGATTTACTAACTGTATGGTTTCTTGTAGATCAAATCGCGCGTCAAGTCGAAGACCCAGGTCTGAAGCACTCTTCACCTACCCACGTTGGACTCGAACTGTCAACTCGCCATGCTGCAGAGTTCTTTGGCTTCTACATTTGTCGTTTTGTCCTTTCCGACGTGACACTTATGCTAGACAAGTTTATCAAGAGAGGGAGTGAATGGGTTTTGGTTTAGGAGATGTGTGTGTGAAAGAGAGAGAGAGAGAGAGAGAGAGAGAGAAAGAAAAGAGGTTTGCAAGAAGAGGACACACTTACCTCCTTGTCTCCTCGCGCGTTCCTCCCCCTTCCCATCATTGGAAGTTATGGTCGATGGGGGATTTCTTGAGCGTTGAAACCGTAATGAGAAAGAGCATGTCACAATGCATCTAGTGCGTCTCCATTCGTGTGTAACTATTCGCCTTAACCAGGTGTATTCTTACTCTTACTCTTACTCCTCCTTTTTTCTTCTCTTTTCTCCTCTCTCTCTCTCCCATCTCTTCCCCCATCTATCCTCCATCTTTCTTTCATCTTCATCTTCATCTTTTTTTTCCCCAGCCTCGCGACAACCTTTTATACCAGGGCGAACAGAGCCGCGCCAATTTACCTACTACTTCCTTCCCAGCCGTTTAGAAACATTTCAACACAAATGTCCTTTTTTTTCTTTTCTATACGTCCTTGGGAGTCTCAAAGGATCAAGGTCTCTCTTCCTTGTTGTTTATCTTCCATGTACCTCTCTTTTTGTTTCCCTTCAACATGGTCTTGCGCTTCTCCTTGTTCCTTACTACATCTTTTCTTCTTCTTCTAGATCTAGGAGGATTTGGTGCCAAGGGTAGAGAATGAGAAAGGAAAGAGGGGGGTTGAGAATAGGGAATATATGGGCATGGGATGGGGTATGAAGAGTGGGGGGTGCTAGGTGTTGGATCATTCTTCTTCCTCTTCTTCTTCTTTTGGGTTTCTTGGTCATGAGGTTATGGGTTGCGTTTACTGCTTTATGTCTTGTCCTTTTTTTTTCTCTCGACTTTGTGCTTTTTGCTCTTTGCAACTTGCACCTGCACTTGCACTTGAACTTGCTATTTGTTCGTCTCCTATTTTTGTTTTCCCATTATCGGATGGATTGATTTCCTTGTTCTCGATCCATTACCTTTTGGCTGTTTATTGCACGTCTTTTTGAAGATATCCCAACCCCCTTTTGTTGTTGTTGTTGTTGTTGTTGTTGTCTTAGTTATCCCATGTTAGCTTAGCTTAGCTGCACTTGTTAGCGAATACCGAACTATCATTATCGCCATTACTAATTTCTTCCTCGAGCTGAAATGTTTTCTCATTATAGAAAAATTTAGTGTGATGAAAAAGGTTGATTCTTAGTAGGTGAAGAGAGAGAGAGAGCTACTACCTAACATACTAGCTGCGGACAAGAGAGGCAAAGAAAATAAAATAAAACACACACGTAGGGTACAATATGCTCTCAAACAATCAATGGCTGTGTCATTCGCTTCAAGAATTGGGTCTCACTCCTATTCCAAAGCTCCTGATGCGTGTAAAACCTTCCATTCTCCGGCGGTGGTCTCTTCAGTTGGCCTCTTGCCGTGAACGGCTTGCTGCTCGACAGCGTCTCAGGTAGCTCAGCAGAAGTGTCGTCACTTTCGCCGCTTGGTAGATTGAGTGGGCGGCCCCATGCTGCTTGTGCACTTTCCAGGCCACTGCTTGCGCGAATTGTACGTAGGACGGCTAGAGAGGTGATGAGATTGGCTTTTAGCATCGCTATTTGGAATACTGTGAGGGCAAGTTGCAGGCTGCTAATAGCGTCGCTAACAGGAGCGTTCATTTCACGATGGAACCTATGTCCGAGTGCCGTCAGGTTGTTGCTCAGGTTGGGAATTGACTGGACGTATTCGAGGTATGGGTTTGTGAGATCGCTTGTTAGGTTACCGAACCTGAGTGTTGCAGTAGGAAGGACGGTTGGAGTGACTCCGCTTGCGTTCAGGGAGAGTGTAGGTATAGTTGTGTTTGAAGGTGACGTAGAGTTGATGGCAACAGAGACATTGACCATGTTTACAGCAGTGAGCCATTCGGTCTGGGGTTTTGGCTGTCAACTTCGAGCTCATATCGAGACATGAAAAGTATGATGAAAACACACCTTGTTTGTGTCGAGCTGGAATTTTCCTCTCAGAATAGTGCTGGTGATGTTGTTCACAAGATCGGCAGTGCCCATTGAGCTACTGCCAATCATGCTGCTGAAACTGAAGCCAGAGACTGCGTTGTTGGGGGCCCCGATAGAATTCGCCACCGTATTGATGAGATTCCTCAGATCAGTGAAATCCTGTACAGCCGGTGCGACAGCTGCCGCAGCGATTGGAAGGAGGACGAGACTGGTTACCAGCATAATGTAGAGTTTGTCGGATAGGCAAGCAGGGGGAAATTTGCCAAGTTATCAATATAGCTAGCAAGTATGATAACTGACAACTGCTAGGTAGGAAGGTTGAGAGAATGACAAGGGGAATCACTACAATCTAAGTGTTGCTTGGATTAGTGTGTTGTGGATGATGGTGAGGCAACCAGTAGCTACATGGTGTAGACGATGGAAGCCACGGTGACCACTGTAAACATGGGCAGCCCCTTCGTGCTTGCCGCAGCAGTACACTAGAGATCCCCGGTTTCTACATATTGCTCTTTTCTTGCATGCTGCCTCTACAGTCAAACTTTTGTATCTCCAACGTCTATTCTCTCTAGCCCTGCATTTCTGCTACCATCTCCACTTTGATCACAGCACATGATCTCTGCAGATAAAGTTAGGTGAGGAAGGCTCGAGCTTCAGAGAACAGCTGACTTGTGCGAGGACAGTGCGTTTTTGCTTAAGTCGTAGCTTCCTCTTACATTCACCCATCTGACTTGGCGCAAACAAATTGAGTTCTTGAATCAGCATTCGTCAAAATCAAGTTGGGTCATGACGGTGCAACATTTGTAAAATCGAATGTAGAGTGCTTAGTCCATGCCGAATTCTGGTTGTTGAGTATTGCGACCGCGCTCCACCAAAGATAGTACTTGGTAAAAGGTGGTTGAGCATAGACACGGTTGGTGTCAAAGCTTGCCTTTGACCTCCAGACGTTATTATTGAGCTATGACACATGCGCAGTGACTGAATTTCGAGTAGATACCTTCCGACTACAACATTGAGTAGAAGCATCCTGTAGCGATGGATTATGATCAAGTATTGAATATATATCACTGTATGGCTCTTGTTTTATTACATAGTAAATTGATGCCGAAACATTGCGTATTTGAAAACACCCCGAATATGAGAGAATAACCTAGCATCCGACAAGACTCTGTATAATACCCTTAAAATACTGTTTCCATACTGTTGCACATAGTTGTGAATACGTAGTCTGTCAAACCTGCTCGAGAATTTTGCATACTCAGCGGGTGCGACCAGAATCTCAGACCCTGGCCGTCAAACCATCAAAATGTCCGGTTCCCAGCGGACAGCGGTACACCATAGCTACGCAGTACAAACAGATGACTATACACCTTTCCAACTCTGACCCCTATCCACTCCAGCTTGCCATTCGCCTATGACATGTAATGATCATCATGAGCAGTCGGTATATTCGTCAAATTTAGAAATTTTGACGTCTCAGGGCTAGAGATCCATGCTATCATTTCTGGATCGCGAATCGCCATTAGCCTTCTCATATGCTCTCCACCACAGTGCCATATTGGCCGCTACTAGCAAATCCATCATTTTCAGGCCTTCGTCCTCGAGAATAATCTTTCCAAGTTTTGCCTGCTTGCCGCCCATACCTCCTCCTGCAAACTCCTGTCCAAGAGAGAGATCCATGCGATCTTCATTGTTTTCGTTTACATTAATAGATGTTGTAGAGTTATTGCGAGAATGGCGATCTCGGCGGAAGAAGGAAGACCGCTTAGATGCTTCGACTCCTTTGGCTGCGGACCTCTTAGGGCCGCTGGGGAGGTTAAATCTGAGCTCGCTCAAACTTGCACTCGAGATTGGTGCTCCCTGAAGTCCGGGAATGACATGACGACACTAGTAGAACAATTAGTCTCTTTGATGTCAATATGATAGAACTGGTATAGCTACCTTAAGAGATCCTCCACCTACGCCGGTAACAAACTCACAGCGCCCATTCCATGGGCTTGTGAAGACATAGCCACGAAAACTTGTCTGTCTTTCAGAAGCCTGAATGCTGCTGTGTGTCTGGTCGTCGTATGCCTGGAATGAAGGCGAGAGCGGAGAACGTAGGTCCATCGACGGTCTCTCAGCCTGTCCACTATAGCTACCTTTGGAGCTAGGTCGAGCGTAATTGGCGTCGTAAGAGCTATTCTTCCTGTGTCCAAATGCATGGCCCAAGTGCTGTGAGCCTTCCAGCCAGATACGTCGACGGAACACGTTATCACTCGCGACCTGGCCACTTGCTTGCGATTCTACTGTTCCAGAATGTCCCGTTTGCCATGACTGAGTAGAGAAGCCACTGTCTCGGCTCACCAAAGGTGGCAGAGGTTTGTCGGAGGAGTCTGAGTGAAGGAATTTAGAGTATCCAGGATTGAACACTTGGATGTACATCGGCGCCCCGGACCTTTTCTTATTGGTGGGGTCTCTCAAAGCTGACGATGAAATCTCAACAATGGGAGGATCCTCAATACGGGCAACGTTCCACTGAGCGCCAGATGCCGGGTCTCTCCGGATGAGCGTGAGTGATGGAGGTTCACGTGGTGGATTCTCTGATCGCCGACGTGGCAGCGGCGGTGGCCTCTCGTTTTCCTGTTGGTGTTGGGTCGAGTCAAATGAACGCCGCGGGCTGTTATAGTCTGGCGCAAGTACCCCTGGTCTTTGCGAAAAGTTTCCAGCGCTGATATTGTGGCTATTCGAGTAATTGTCAATAGGAGCCAGGGTTCCTGGTACGGGTTTTCGCAGTGGAGGAACAGCATTAGAAGCTCCTGGAACCGCTTTCCGCGGAACCAGCGGGGCAGATGATAGATTTTGGCCTACAGCATCAGGACCTCTCAGCTCTGGAGGATCGACAAGGTAAGCATCCTCGGGCTGGTTGACGTGGACATAATACAATGAACTTTGGATGTCTTCTGCGGTCACTACCTTCTCGCGTGGTTTCATAGGTGAAAGAAAAACATCTGGAGATGTCAGGGTACATTTGACTTGTCAAATTGGGCGGCCGTACCTCTGCTACCAGGAACACGCGCAATGTACAGTACTAGCGGATCATGCCTAAAATGCGTCGGATTCCTTGGGTAAGATGGTGGGTTAAAAGCAAGTGCTGTAAGTGAAGAGAGTGACTTTGCTTCGACAACGGGCGCGGCCATGAGAGCGAAAGAGGCGGGCACTGGTGACGGGGAGGGAGAGTGTGCGATGGTGGCTTTGAGAGTGTTGCCGCGTGCCACAAGGACTGTTATTGCAGTCCTGGGCAGCGTTGCCTAGGATATATGTGACAAGCAGTCAACGCTCAGGTTTATGCTTGCCTCCGTGTGGCTGTGCGACCGCGTCTCCCCGATAAGGACATGAGTGTTATATGGGCGTATACTTGGGAGCAGAAGCGCCGCCGTCTTGGCCTATTGCTGCGCAGGGCGACTGACAAGTGGATCGGGCTGACGCGCATCAATCCGCAGGGCTCTACCGGTGATGCGGGTGGTGAAGGAGCCTGTAGCCATGAGCACGCGAGGTTGTTTCTGGTTAGACCTGACTCGTAGCCGCTGATTGGCCCTTGAAACCAAGGGTCCAAGCGCGGAAAGTGTCTGCGAAATCTTGGCTTCCATGCACTCAAACCTCGATTTTCGCGGCCCGCACACGACACACTCGCCCCGCCCACTGCATGCCCACCTGCCTTGCTGATACTCGCGCGCATCTAGCCGATACAAGATGGGGGACAATCTCGAGGTATGTGGCGACAGTGTTGCCTATCCATCCTTCTTGCCGCTGACCGGAAGCTGTAGGAGCGATTGAAGAGCCACGCGCGGGCATTCGAAGGGCTCATGTCCCTGATACCCGCAAAGGAATACTACGGCAAGGACGAGAGTATCACCAGCGTATGCACCTCTGCCTTCCTGCGCCCCCCGCTCCGTGCTGATATGATGTCTGCAGACGCAATGGCAAAAGAGAGGAAAGAAGCAAACCCTCGAAGAACGACAGGCCGCCAAGCGTGCAAAGCTGGATCCTGCTTCCCACAAAAGCGCCAAAGATGTCATGGATGAGAACGCGCTGAAGCGGAAACGTGAGTTGGAGGGTGAGGCCGACACGGAAGTTTCCGAGGCCGAGTCGTCCGATCTGGACATGGACATCACAAAGGAGAAGCCCCTAGAGGGGATCAAAAGCAAAGCAAAAAAGCAGAAAACTCAGCCTGTCGAGCCAGAAGATGACGATGACGAGACTGCCGAGACACGGGCCTTGTCAAAATCTGAAGCCAAAGCTGCGGCTAAGGCAGAGAAGCGAAGAGAGAAGAGAAAGGAGAAGCAGGAGAAGAACAAGCAGAAGTTGGAGGCAAAGAAGAACAAAAAGACAGCGTTCGAAGACCTCGTCGCCACCAAAGAGGCCGAGGAGGACCAGGACCAGGACGACACCGAGGAAGAAGAGGACGATGATGAGGCGGCTGCTGACGACTTTGAACATGAAGACGACCAAATCGAAGCATTAGATGTTAACGGCCTTGTCGAAGAGGGTCAGTCTACAGCTCCATCCACTGCTGTCAATTCCAACTCCTCCACAGCTTCTGTCGCCTCGGCCGGCTCATCAGCCTCGTCGATACCTCAATCAACCGAAGAGGCGTCGCAAAAGAAAGCCAAGAAGCCTTACACCATTGATCCAGAAAGTCATGAAAATTTCCGCACACGATTGAATGCAAAGCTAGAAGCCATGCGTGCGGCACGGAAGGCTGACGGTCCGGACGGACGGCCTGCCCGCAACCGAGCAGAGCTCATTGAAGCACGGCGGAAGAAGGAGGCCGAGCGAAAAGCTGCTAAGAAAGCCCTTCGTCAAGAAGCAAAGGATGATGAAGCTCGCCGGCAAGCAGAAGAACAACTAGCACGCATAAGAGGCGGCTCAGGCTCCCCTTCAATTTTCCCGGCCAGATCACCAGAGGTTGAACGCAACTTCAATTTTGGCAATGTCGCTTGGGACGGGCAACACCTAGACTCAAATCTTTCTGGATTCTTGCAGTCAAGAAAAAAGAAGGGTAAGTCGGACAGCAAGACAGCCCTTGAAGCTGCACAGAAGAAGCAAGCCCGAATCAATGCGCTCGACGAGGATAAACGTAAGGACATCCAAGAGAAGGAGCTATGGCTCGCTGCAAAGAAGAGAGCACAGGGAGAAAAGGTATTCGACGATGTAGGTCTTCTCAAGAAGAGTCTGAAGCGTCA